GGATCATACTTTGTTTCCCAAAAAGTCTATTCAACCAAAAAGATCAATTAAATAAATCGATTACATTTCGCGTCCAAATGTAAATTTATGTATTATCAACTCCAAAGTTAAAAGTATGATAATTTTTAGTAAAATCTACACAAGATTAATCTGACGTTTATAAGATTACGGAAATCGTTCCCAATACAAATTTATCTATCCGAAATTTAAGAATATCTCAGAAATAAAATCTATGAGCAACTACGAATTTAAAAATCTGGAATTTGGCTGCTCTGAAATTTATGTATCATCAATTCTAATATTCAAATATGAAAATCTTTGATAATTAGAAATATTGAAAGCTTTCAATAAAAAAAATTAATATTTTCGATATCTAATTAATAATGAACTTATTATGGTCCGGAATTTATGTAACATCAACTCCAAATTTAAAAATATGAAAATCTTTAGTAAAATATACACAAGAACAATATTGTGGAAATATTCCAATTAAATAATAATTACCATATTCTTGATTAATTCTACTTAAGTTATTTGGACAATCCAAAGTTAACATGTTTTTTTAAACTCTAATGTATTAAATTATTATACTTTTTGATTTGACATGTGTACATATATAAAATAACTTCCCATGTTTAGAAAAACAAATATAATTATTCTTTTGAAATGTTTTTTTTAATGCAAGATAATTTGAAAGTAATAAAAACAATTTTTAATTCAAAAACAGCAATATTTTTTTTTAAGTTGTGTTTCATTTATAAAATTTATGATTTTATATTAATATTTTAAAATATTAAGTAATTTATTTGTATTCTAAATACTACTTAAGATATTCGGATAAGCCAAATTTAACATTTTTTTAACTCTAATGTATTAAATTATTAGACATTTTGACTTGACACATTTAAATATATAAAATAATTAAATGGTAAAACTAAATTTATGAAATTCATATATTAATAATAATGATATTATTGACCAAAAAATTAACAACAGAAGAATCAACAACAATGTCTATAATAAAAATCAAACAACTATATATTTTACATTTTTAAAGACTAAAATTAAAAGCAAAACTACATAAATAATTTACCCGTGTATATGCGGGAGAATGACCTAGTACATCTATTAATTACTTACCGTATGAATAAGATGATTAAATTAGAGGGAAGATTGATAAAAAAGCTAAGGATCAAAAGAAGAAATACGCGGGGAATCGAAGAGATGCTGGTCCCAAATAGTAGGATTAGATCCAATGCCTACATCCTCATTGGTCTCTTCAATTTTGTGTTACACAAAACTCTAGCGACCCTTTGCGTGGAAGCTAAGAAATGAGACACAAGAATTTTTTTTCCAATATACTATTAGGTACGTAACTAAAAGAAATTGGTCCATTGACTGGTTAGAACACTATAGAAAATGTCTTGAAAACTTCAAAAATAAATTTGATCAGCGAAAAATGTGAAGCAATAATTAAAAACTTCTACTACTAATTAGGTCCCCAAAAAAACCCTTCAAGTGTTTTGTGCAACTCAAGTCTCTGTTCTTATTTTTTATATGGCGCATCAAATGTGAAAGTTAAACTCGAATTTGATATACTCCTATCGATTAGAAGATGTTTAGAGATGTAAAAAGTAAGAAGATCATCATATGGCGATTCTTGAATCTATCTAACAGTTTTGGATTACGAGTTAATTAGCCCAAGTCACATTGGTTTCTTCTTTTTTGGGCAACAGTCACATTGTTTTCACTTGGATATTAAATCGTACTAATATTTGATGTCGGTAAATTACGGGTTCACAGAATATAACTTTAAGATACGTTGAAAGCCACACAATCCCAAGGAGAATTTTGCAGTCCCAAAGTTTAGAGTCTTCCGATGAAATTGTCTAAGCTGAGCAATTCATACCATTAATTGGATCATGCCATACGTGTGCATGTATGTATTTTAAATGATTAATTTAGATATAGATGGATTTTGGATCCATGATTATAGATGTACATGAACATGAGTTTGTTTGCATGGACCCCAACCTGTTATTATTCGGGTGTAATTTAAAAAAAAACCAAACACTAAAATCTAAAGTTATGGAAGAATTATGGGCGCATAAAGTCGACATGCAGTACTAACATTTCCTGCTCCCTTTTGTTATTGTTTCAACTTAATTTTAATCTAATTCGATATCTCTGGATCAGAGTCACATAGTGTACCATAAAATTTACGAAATGCCTAATTTTTTTCTTTTATCTAATAAACCATAGAAGTTCTAAACCTTTTGCGTTACTTTAAGAATGTAAATCATATTTTCTAATTAAAATTAAATTAGTGACCTTATGTTCAAGCTTTCAGCCTCTAATCTTCCCCAAGAAGTGTCTAACAAACGCAAATTTATAGGTTTGAATTTTCAAAAAAAAAAAAATTATACGTTTTCTTTTTTTATGTAGCACTAAAAGATAGATTTTTATAAAAAAAATCGGAAAATGAAAACACAATTATACCAAACCAAAACGAAAATTCTCTTTCTGAATGCATTTATAATTAACAAATGAAGTTTATTT